ACTCAGACTTAATAAAGCTCTCACATTTTCATTTTATCACAGAAAATAGACTGGGCAAAAATAAAATCAGTCGGTTTTGCCTTAATGGAGAAAAGTAATGGTGGGGTGAAACTGACACAACACATTTTATCCATAGTAATACTATCAAAATGAAAGCATATTCACTTCTGGTGTTTTCAGGGAATCAATTCAAACTGAATATTGGCCTTTTTCACAGACTTTATTTCATAATGGTTCCAACAAATACAGCACTCTGGCAACAGCCTGTCACCTCGGGTGATACCAACACAGCTATTTCACCCTATAGAGTTACAGTGTTCTCCAGCCCACACCGTAGCTCCTCCACCAACCTATAACTCTTATTTTATTTCCACACTTTATACATTAGAGGTACATTACACCCATCCCAGTAGATAGGATGAGTCCACTTTTACACCCAGGTGTTACATTGCAAGGTTAGGTCATTTGGATGGCTATGACCTTTGATGGCTCCATCTTCAATGAAAATGATCTGGTGATCTCCGCATTGACATGCACACAGATGCCCTTGTGCTGAACATTCACACTATGGTGATAAGGCCAGAGCAATTCACTCAGGAGACATTATGGAAATATTCATTTGGGAATTACGAATTATAATTAGAAGGCCACATTTTCTTGTCGTAGGAATGGTGGGGTTTGCATGGTTTCACAGGGATAGGGCGAAAAAGGAAATCTTGACAAGAACAGGATTTTCCTGTATCTTTCCTAGGTTGTGCTTTAGCACAGCACATGGTTGGGATGTAAATAATTCCAGTCTTCTTTAAAGAATGCTCTGCATTTAAAGAAGTAATTAGATCAAGCAAAGTACGAGGAAAAATCCAACACTGAGTCCCAAGTGTTCTGGTGTGTGATTAATTATTCTGAGGAAGACAGATGTTAAATTGTGTATGCCCATCAGCGCTAAGACTTTCTGAAGATTTATCATTCATGTAAATCATGAATAAAATATTTCCTTGTTGACAGAAAATGCTACATCTGTTTGGCGCGCCATTTACTCGCAACTGCAGGAAAATAAGTACACAAGTCTGACCTATTAACGCCTGTTCTCCACAAAGAGTGGACACACGACACAAAACCGACAAGATAGGTGATTTGTATTTAATTACATGAAATCCCTTCGGAAAGATTACAAAAATTTGATCAGCCACATAAAAAACAATTACCAGTTTAAATGTTGCAGACAATCCTATATTGCTTCACTAAAAGAACTTTATAAACTGTGCTCTTCAGCAATATTGTATCAATGAAATGTACAAGTTGCATTAACATTATTCCACTTAATTCTTTCAAACAACAACTGAATTAGCCGTCCTTCGTGTAAATGTGTGCTTCTGTTTTCCACAGATGTATGAATAAATAAGTAAAAACAGTCAAGCGAGTGTGAGGGTGTCACGGGGATCACGGACGAGGCAATGGCGGTGGCGGAGGTCGAGCCACAAGCCACTGGGACGGTAGCGTCTCCAGTCGCCCCTGGCGACCATCACGTTGCCATGCTCCGGAACAGACAGGCCTGCTCGCACAACAGATGGAACTAATGATGCGAAACAAAAGAGATCATTTCACCGTGGTCCTCTAGGAAGCCACAAAGAAGTTTGAATGATGGGACCAGGGGACTTGCATGGGGTTAGATATGGGTAGCGTGTTTTTTTTCTGGAGGTGCTCAGAAGAGGAGGGAAAAAAGCCCTTTGATGTTTCTAACAGAAAGCGGAGCATTAAAAAGGCAAGTATGAAAAAAACGGAGAAATGTTAATCAACCTTCAAGGATCCCCACTGGACATGGGTTTTATTTCAGATTTTATGGACTTTGGGTCTCTGATAAATATTCAGTCACATAAGGGTCATCAGACATCTCATTAATGCAAACTGATGACCAAGACAGCTGTGACCCTGCAGTTACTGAGTGGATATATCAAGGTTTCAAATAAGTCCTCTCCTCTTGTTATTAATATTGTTCATTATTCAATTTCTTTTACAATTTTACAAATAACCTAAACAATAATGTAATACTACAGTAAATTTTTTGTTTCTGTCATCAGACGTGCATCACATTGATAGCTAACCTTTACTATATTATTTATCATGTCACATATCATTAAGAGAAGAACAATTTCAATACCAAAGTGTACGGAGAAATTATACAAGACCTTAATATCAAAACAGTCTGGTGAGTAAGGTTGTAAAACGTCCTGTTAAATAGAATTGCGTATTTGCGCCACTAGTTTTTTACACCGCGGTGGATAACAGTTGTAAACAAACTGCTGTGTCCTGAACTGACAAAAACAAATCAAATTTGAGCTGAGGACATTTGCATATCCTGGGGGACAGGATTAGATTTAGAGGTCATCTCTTCCGAGCCGGTCCTCAGCAGACGCCAATGTAATGTTTCTATGTCAAGTACATTCAATTGAAGTGTACGTGAGCCCAGTCTGTTTTCCAAGCCAGACAGTCAGAGAGAGGGAGCGCCGCTCTCTAAATACAGTGTGTGAACCTAGAGAAAGCCAAACACCTAGGGAAGGGATTTAACCGGGATGGAGCGGAGTGGAGCGGAGTGGAGCCCAATCCACGCCCGTCCACACGCAGAGGGGATCGCTGGGAAAAGTTCAGCTCCGACACCGACACAAACAGCGGAGCGAGGCCTGTATTAGAGTCAGGTTAGCAAAGATAACACTATCAGCCTGATCCCCATGGGTACCAAATGCCGGGCCTTACTGGCAAATAAAGCTACAGTGTCTTGACTCCTTGGCACATTAGCTCTGATTACAATGACCTTCATTATATCAGCTACCCTTATTACAACACGTAGAAGGCGTCTCTCCCCTGGGCAAAGCACAGTGGGGGAAAGAGTAAAGGAAAGCGGCGAGATTCACTCGTAAGACTTGAGCTGTGAAAACCAGTGTTCAGACCTGTACTGTAATGTACAATTAACACCTGTAAAAACAATCCGTTGCTGACCAGTTGCTCCACTTTATGTGACTTTGGGGCTGTAGATTGTTGAATTTAAACTTATCTATACTGCATTCTGAATACAGTTTAGGACAGTTAACTTATAGTTACAGTGTAATACTGATAGGTATAATACGGTTAATTTGAGCATTTGTTTGGAACTTTTTTTAAATTTGAGTTGTAGGATTATAGAAACAGTACTAAGTCAGAAATCAATAAGCCAAAGATATTAAAACCACAAACTCAACATCATCCGCGCCGCAGCTTTCCACAGCAAATGGGCCATAACCTCATTATAATTTTAATGTCTTTTTGATCTTTAGTTCCTTAAAATAGCATAACCAGAAAGAACCACAAATATTGTAATTGAATACAACTATTTTTGCAGATTTCATTACTTAATAACATGCTTGGCCGTACAAGGATTTAACATTGCACATCCTATGGGCACAGCCAAGCACTGTTTAATATGTAACCATGTTGTTAACCTCAATTTCCTGCCCAGTCTGCCCCTCCACAGGCCACATTGTGAGCTCTTGGCAAACGTTAACGCCGTGGTGGTGACTCTCATTCAGTCTGACCACCCTGTAGGCGAGGGGGATTCTCTCCCACAGCCCTGCTGATCCCTCCTCCAGGGCTCCGGCTCCACGTCTCATCCTCCCTCTCTGCTGGCAGGTGACTCAAAACAACAGACGCTGCCCTGAGAGAGCCACGTTCACTTAGCCTTGCCAACACATCCCCAACATGGGATGAGCTGAACTGTGGGGGTTCTGAGGACCGTCCCTTCACCCAGCGGGAGAGCGTGATGTTTGTTTTTGTGAAGAGTTGGGGAGGGAGGGGTGCGCAAATCAGCTTGTTTTGGATTAAGAACAAATCAAGAGATACTAAGAAATACGAGATGTGCCTCGACAGCGACTGGAGAGCAAGAACACCTGTAGGAGGCACAGGTTAACAACCCGCACATTATCACACACACACACACACACACAGTATCACTCTCAGCCTCTTTTTCACATATTTGTCAAAGTATAATTCCTGCGGAAGAATAGAGGATACAATAGCAATATAGCCAAGAGTGCACTTAACAGAATCAGGGTTTAAGCCATGTTGTTCCCCTGTGACAGAATGTTAAAAAAAGCAAATAAAATTGTAACTTAATTATAGATTTATAATGAGCCACTGCACCACTGCCAAAAACAAGTCCCATACCAAGGCAAACAGGCACCTGCTGAATGCTCTCTGCTCATGGGTTTTCATAGCTTAATTAATCTAGGCCTTGGGGTATCATGACTCGTGCGTGCTGCTTGCGTGCATGTTTGAGACAATTAAGTTGTTCCAGGAAACGGAGGTGTAGCTTCAACATGGAGCGGTGACACCAATACTGCACAATACAGTGTTTGGTGTTTTCTGAAAGTCAACGATCCAATAATGTGTTTCCCATGGACAAAAAAAGAAATAGTAAATGTGTGAAATATGGCTCAATATAAATGAATTACAAAGCATTTAGTTGAATTTCACGTTCTTAGTAATTGAATACATCTACCTTCTAAATCCACAAACGTCTGTCTGTATGTGGAACGCATATCTTGCAAATAATTAATCTAATCGGCCTCACACTTCGCTTGTGCTTTGGAATTTGCCTGGGGAAGTGCAGTGCTGAGTTTAGTGCAATTTGAAAATTTGCCTATAAAATTTTCATGCAGATAAACCGGGTTGGATGAACACAAAGTTTTCTTACTACACTCTGCACCATAGACTGTTTACAAAATGCTCTGTCCAGCAACCAAACAATAATTGACAGTATATTGTAGAACTGTTTGAGGAGGACTCACTAATGACAGGTAATAATTCTGAGGTAGAGCTCCAGAGTATTAACAAAGTAAAAGAGAACAGGCCATTCCAAACAGGCAGGTTTAGAACGGGCACTGCACTACCTATTAAATATACAGTAAATATTGTTATACCATGTACGACACACAAGTATAATTTTGAGACTCACCTTTCTGTTGAAAAATGTGTGTTGAGTCCGCTGAGGAGTTATCGCGTCTGGCCAATGCTCACTCTACTGCCATCTATTTTCTGTAGATAAACATAAAACAGCTGTTTACCATCACATGTCTTTTCTTTGAAATGAGAGATTTAAGGCACAGAGTATTTGACCAGATTGCACCAAGGATGCCACTGCTAACGTGACCAATAGCAGCTGGGACAAAAATGAATGAATCTTCAAAGCAGTTACACAAAGTCACAAACATCTCAAATCCAGAAAAATCAGGAGAATATTTACACAAAGATTGAATGAAAACTATGTTTTAATGTTTTAAAGAAGAAATTCATATTTACACAGTGATGTACATTTGTTTCTTGCACAACCTGTACCGGAATAATGAAAAGCTTTAATGCTGCCTCTTCTACAGACAAATGTAAGTCTGACAGGGGAAAACCAAGTATTGACTCTGTCTTTCATCCTCATGTGACCAAGGGAGAATCCCAGTATATGGCCACAGCTGGCAGGAGAAGGCAGAGGAAGAAGGGGGATTGATCTACGAAGGACAAGCAAATGAAACATGTCATCTTTAAAGGTGCCATGACTAACAATTTGTTTTTCTCAAACTTAAGACCCCACTCTTCCTTTTGCTGGTTGACAAGTAAAGTAAAGCTTCAGTTATAGAGGAAAAAACAGTGGTTCTAGTTTTCCTGCTCTTTAAATAAGTAGTAATATTTATTGGAAGATCTAAATGAATGTGGTAATGATGTATTGATGTGCAGTAAAATACCACAGAAATATGAGTGACTGAAATGAATTAGGACAAAAGTATGAAATTCTCATGACTGCTAATTACCAGTTTGAATGAGCCTGATAACTAAAGAGAAAAAGTATTAAATGCAATAATTATTACTAATGCTAATTACATTTCCAATTATATCACTAATGAGAACAGCTTAATTATCAACATGTTGGATAAATAAGAGTTTTGCTTTCAACCAGTGGTGATGGAGGCGGTGATGTGGTTACGACATCAAGGGCGAGCCCTCAGACCAAAAACACAAAATACAGCTATGAACTCAGAGAGAAGCTAATTGTATCTGCTTCCCCCACAGCGCAATCAAGACTGTGATGTTAGGCTTTGATTTCGCCTCGACGTCCTCAAACATCTTCTTCACCAAATTATGCCAATGAACACAGAATTTAGGAGCACTGTTCTTTAAGTCAGAGTCAAAGTCACAGAGCCAGATTAAGTTATTTGCTTTAGTTGAGACTAGGGATGCGCTTAACAATACTTATTTCCCAGTTTGATAAAACCTTGTCTGCTGTGGCTGTTTCCCCAGCTAGATAAGCAGCAGTGTACATCAACAGAAAAGTATTAATTAGTCTAACTGTCTGCTTGCTGCTGCTGACGAGCGAACATTCATAAAAAAGGAGAGACGACATGACAAGAGGTCTTCTTAACATCAGCATAGCTGGATCTCGGTATAAGAAGCACAGGTTTGGTGAGAAGTTACATTCTGTTATCAAACAAAGCAGGATGGGGGTTTGCCCTTCTCAATAATGTCTGTATTATTCAGTTCATAATAGCCGTGCTGTAATCTTTTCAACAAATAATCGACTAAATGAAATATTTCACTGTTTTATCAAAACATATTTACTCCAAACTATAAACAAAATATCAAACCTGATCTGTAGTTTCGTCAACATAACATTTAACTTTCTAACATAAAAAATAGGCAGGTAGGCAGACAGAAAGTACTGTGAACATTTGTTGTTAAATATTATACTGAACTTATAAAATGCTAGCATGAACCAATGTGCCAAGTATCATGCATGTTAGTACATGGCTAGTCCATTTGTTTAGATGATTTAGATAAACATAAGACTTTAAGAAATGTACTTATTACAGGAAAAATATTTTCTATTCTTCTTTATGTGTGGAGTTTAATTGCAGTAAGATGGTAAAGGGGCCAGAGCTCATCTATTCCCTGTGTTAAACAGTATAGGAAGCACTGATCCATCTTGTGCAGCTGAATATTTCAGTTGGTTAATGACTGGAGAACTACAAGACCCTATAATAACTCCTCCTCTCACTGATCTCCTAACAGTCCATCTGCGACCCTCCTCCACAAGGCACACTGTGCCCTGTGTGCCTGTCAAAATATTGCTGTATCACGCTCTGACAGCCTCAAAACACTCTTGATATTCCGTACATTCCTTGAGGGTGTTGCTCTACCTTTTAGGAGAGCGGAAGTGTTGCAGAAAGCCGTGTCTGAATGCCAAGGAAAGGCACGGTGGATTAGAGTCATATCTTCCACATGGCTTCTTCCTAATCCTACCATCTGAGGTAAACACAGGACCAGGTGAGGCAACACGCCTGTCTGAGACACCTCTGGAACACAGAGGGATCTCCTCCTCAACACCCACGGGACTCCTACTTCCGACTAACACAAAACTTATTCAGAGTGGGTTCAGGTAATAATCGGGAAATATCTGTTTTCCTGTTTATAGCAAATTCATAAAACTGTATTGCTTAGAAAAAGTTTTTACTAAAAAAAGCTAAAGTGATTTTACATTAACAGCAGATCTTAGTGTTTACTATATGTAGTGATGGCTTCAATACACTCTTTACTTAAAATAGACAGAACAACCAACATACATTGTTTTAGATAAACCATCAATAAGTATATGAGCACAGAAACACAAATGTACAAACATCCTAGAAAGTAATGACTCCTTTGGCACCACTACAAAAAAGTAAAAAATAAGTTAATATTTATTCAAGTATTATATTTTGACACTTTTCTAGCTATACATGCAATCTGTTCTCAGATCAGAACTTGAACATCTGGTTTAGCTCTTTGTGTTTTTCATGTGTTCAAAAGCTGAGCAATAAGGTGATACTTCTGTGTGTTTCACTGCCAAGGAATGTTGCCAACTTTAGTTTCAAAGTCTCTCCCTTTCACCTCAGAGGTAGGACAAGAGGAGGAACAAAACAAACACAAGCAGAGAGGAACATTCATTGTGTGTTTTAAGATGGGGCTGATTTTTCAAATATCTTGATCATTGCGTAAAAACAGGTTTTGATACGTTGCAGCATGACTGTTTTTCAATGCATTTTTCACACATGATCTCACAACTTGAGAAAAACAATGTACACACCCATGGAACAGGTACAGGTAAAACACAAAGCTTCAGGGAAATGGGTATTCCTCAAGTGATTCTGGTATTTTCCATTAGAGTCATGACTATTTCTGGGACAGTTAGAAGCCAACGTGTAGGAAATGCTCATTTAGCAGGAGATATTCTGTGAGAAAAATTGTATTTCTGAAAGACCCTAACTTCTACACAATTTCTCCCCATGAGCAGTACGGATCTCTTACTGTGCTTAAATGTTGGCAATATTTACAAGACCTAACAATGTAATGGAAGGAAGTGGAAGGAATGTATTAAAAATCAGCTGGCATTGTCGTGTGTTTCACACTTGTTTTTATATAGTGAAAAAATTCCTACAACCCCCCTAAGAAATGATGTTTAAGTGAAAACAAGGTACATTAAAGTACACAGTAATACTATAAACACAAGCCCAGGGCCAAGCCACTTGTGAAGACCTTGTCAGAACATGTGAATGAGGGAAGGTTCTGAAAAAGTGCATATTTTGATTTTGGTGATAAAACAGTAATCACAGGAGCTGAAATGTGTTAACTGTTCAGTGACTGTTAACGTTACGCCCACGTGAAGACGTCTGATCAGGTGATGTTTCATAAACATGTGCTGTGTGATGAAAACGGAATTCCGATCACAAGGAGACTTTACTCAAACATAAAGTGTCCCTGTTAATTGGTGCTTATTTTGTTGCAAATCAAATGTTATAAGCACAGAAGGAGGATAGGCTGTTTTTTCTGTGAAACGCAACTTCGGCACTCAGAGGTTTTTATGGCACCCCACAGATTGGAAATTATGATTTCACTGATGGTCACTCACTGTAGTGATGGAAACTCAAAAATGAATTTATGAAAGTTGAGCTGTAAGCCTGCCATATAAAATCATAAAATGCTTTTGTTTTGAGCACTATGTCATAAAGCAAGTGTGCGACAAAAAAACAGACAATCTGAACCTGAATGATGAGATTTTCTGAGGTTACCTTACCAACTGTTGCCCTTGGGCACAAGTATGAGATAAATATACCGTACAATATACACACCTTTGTCACGCAATGTGACTTGGGCAACAAGTCATCCAGGTTCACCATTACATGGCTCACCTTACTTTTTGTGTGCGTGTGTGTGTGTGTGTGTGTGTGTGTGTGTGTGTGTGTGTGTGTCTTTCTACACTCTCAGGGCATTTTTTAATCAGGACAAATTGTTACAAATAGATTTCAATAATAGTTTGTTTAAATTTCTCCAGTGTCTCATCTCACCTGTTTACTTTTGGCTTCTCCCAACACTGTGTAGAGATTTTCATACTTTAATTAAGATTTCTTTTTTGGGGGGGTATATAGTTAAAGGTTCAGTGTGTAGGATTTAGGAGAAAAGAATCTATTGGCATAAATTGAATATAAAATAACCCAGTAATGTGTCATCAAAATTTTATTAATTGTTGTTTTCTATACACTAGAAGAGGCCCTTTGTATTTAAATACTTTATATTTACATCAGGGGGGTCCTCTCTACGGAGGCCGCCATGTTTTTTACAGTAGTCCAGACAGGAAAACCAAACACCATTTGAGTTTTTATGACAACTAAAGGCTTCTACAGGTTCTCTGAAAAGTTGGTAAGGGGAGGGTGAGGTGAGGGGTATTCAGCTGCCACATGCAATTTCACCCCTAGATGTCACTCAGTTCTACACATTGTACCTTTAATGCAAGTTTTAAATTTAGGTAAAATTGCCCCATTTTGATTGCTTAATCAGATTTGATATACAGGCCATGCTGAAACATTGGTTTTCAATTACATAAAAGTTTTAATACCATTTTTCTGTGAAAACTTCCCCCTTTAAGACCAATTGTGATTGATGAATACAGCCTGACCACAGCTGCTTTCTCAACAAAGAAAAAAACTTTTTTTTAAACTGACCCTTCCAGCCAACAG